CCCGTGTCCCCTGCGTCGGCAGGCGGACTCTCAACCACTGCGCCACCAGGGAAGCCCGGAATACGTTTTTTTAAAAAAAAAAAATCTTAACACACTGCTGTTTTTCATTTCAGTTAGATAAATTTGCTGTGTAATATTAGAGATCATTCCCCTAGTTCTACACGATACCCGTGCTTATGAGGAGGTCGAAGAACAAACGGCACTCTTTCAGATGGTGGGTTGAGTGTCACTAATTTTGACAAAGGGTTGAGAAGGATCAGCTCTGGTTTTTTTCAGTTTCAAGTCTGTACCACTGAGGAAGTCTCTTCAGTGGTCTTTCTAAATAGTTCAAATAATCTTTAAAATTCTCCACATGTTGAAGGTATATATAAAAGTATAAAGGGCCCAGGGACACCTTTAATGCTATGGAATGATCCCTGGCATCCTCTGAATTTAAAATCACTAATTTTTTTCCTTTTTTTGACTGTTTTAAGAAAAGAAAAAACGGGGGGGGGGTGATGTGGAGTGCTTGCAGAACAGTCTTTATTGTATTAAAACCGACATTCTTTATGCCGTGTTTCATTTAGAAGCTGTTTCCACACCAGCTTCTCCAGGGGCCCAGGGGTTGCCATACCTTCTGCCACTCTGAGTCCTGCTTCCCTACCTCCTGGTCCCAAGGCCTGCCTTTTCCTGAAATGCTCCTCCTTGGGGCTGCGCTAGGAAATGGTTTCTCATGCTAGAGCAGCTCAAAGAGTGAAGGTAGCCAGGAGTCAACAGTGCTTTAAAACACACCTCAGAATGGCAGCACCCTCCTCTGCGTCCATTCCCAGGCCAGGCCTCTGCATGACCTACCTCAGTTGGCACTCACATTGGCCTATCAGGTGTGATTTTCTTTTTTTGAATTGAAGTGTAGTTGATTTACAGTGTTGTGTAAATTACTGCTGTACAGCAAAGTGATTCAGTTATAGATATATATACATTCTTTTCCATTATGGTTTATCATAGGATATTTTTTTTTTTTTTTTTTTTTTTTCCTTGCGTTATGCGGGCCTCTCACTGTTGTGGCCTCTGCCATTTGCGGAGCACAGGCTCCGGACGCGCAGGCTCAGCGGCCATGGCTCACGGGCCCAGCCGCTCCGCGGCATGTGGGATCTTCCCGAAACGGGGCACGAACCCGCGTCTCCTGCATCGGCAGGCGGACTCTCAAGCACTGCGCCACCAGGGAAGCCCTATCATAGGATATTGAATATAGTTCTCTGTGCTATACAGTAGGACCTTGTTGTTTGTGCATTGTATGTATAAAAGCTTATATCTGCTAACCCCAACCTGCCACTCCATCCCTCCCCCAACGCTCTCCCCCTTGGCAACCACCAGTGTCTTCTCTTTGTCCGAGATTGTTTCATAGGTTCATTTGTGTCATATTTTAGATTCCACATATAAGTGATATCATGTGGTATTTGTCTTTCTCTTTCTGACTTACTTCACTCAGTATGATAATCTCCAGTTGCATCCATGTTGCTGCAAATGGCATTATTTCATTCTGTTTTATGACTGAGTAGTAGTAATCCATTGTATATATGTACCATGTCTTCTTTATCCATCTATTGATAGACACTTAGGTTGTTTTCATGTTTTGGCTGTTGTGAATAGTGCTGCTATGAACACAGAGATGCATGTTTCTTTTTGAATTATAGTTTCGTCCAGATATATGGCCAGGAATAGGATTGCTGGATCATATGGTAATTCTAGTTTTAGTTTTCTGAGGAATCTCCACATCATTTTCCATAGTGGCTGCAGCAACTTACATTCCCACCAACAATATAATATGGAGGGTTCCCTTTCTCCACACCCTCTCCAGCATTTGTTACTTGTAGAATTTTTAACGATGGCCATTCTGACTGGTGTGAGTTGGTACCTCATTGTAGTTTTGATTTGCATTTCTCTAATAATTGGTGTTGTTGAGCATCTTTTCAAGTGCCTATTGGTTATCTGTGTTTCTTCTTTGGAGAAATGTGTATTTAGGTCTTCTGCCCATTTTTGGATTGGGTTGTTTGTTTTTTTGTTATTGAGTTGTATGAGCTGTTTGTGTATTTTGGAAATTAAGCCCTTATTGGTCACATTGTTTGCAAATATTTTCTCCCATACTGTAAGTTGTCTTTTTGGGTTTTTTTATGGTTTCCTTTGCTGTGCAAAAGCTTGTAAGTTTGATTAGGTCCCATTTGTTTAGTTTTATTTCTATTGCCTTGGGAGACTGATCTAAGAAAACATTGGTACGATTTATGTTGGAGAATGTTTTGCCTATGTTCACGTCTAGAAGTTTTATGGTGTCATGTCTTAAGTCCTTAAGCCATTTTAAGTTTACTTTGTGGAAAAAATATGGAATGCTTCATGAATTTGCGTGTCATCCTTGCTCAGGGGCCATGCTAATCTTCTCTGTATTGGTCCAATTTTAGTATATGTGCTGCCAAAGTGAGCACCGGGTAGGTGTGATTATCCCAAGTTTTTAGAACATGAAGTTGATATTCAGAGAGCTTTGATGACATGCCCAAGGTCCCACAACCACAATTTAAATAAAAATTTGGCTTCAAAATATGCGTTTTCCTCTTGACACTGCCCTGACTTGTGGTGATTTACTCAACTGAGTTGCTTTGCTTTCTTTCTTTGGCTTTTTTTTTAAGTGGGGGAGTAAGGGGTAGGGAGTTTGGGCACAAGGGAAGCATGATTATTTTTTTAAGTAAAAATGATTTTTTTTATTTTATAAACATGAATGCATCTTAGTGTTTCTAGAAGGTAGGTTAACTAGATAAATTTCAGGGTTTAAAAACACACACACACACACACACACACACACACACACACACACACACACACACACACACACACACACACACACACCATAGTGGCTGCAGCAACTTACATTCCCACCAACAATATAATATGGAGGGTTCCCTTTCTCCACACCCTCTCCAGCATTTGTTACTTGTAGAATTTTTAACGATGGCCATTCTGACTGGTGTGAGTTGGTACCTCATTGTAGTTTTGATTTGCATTTCTCTAATAATTGGTGTTGTTGAGCATCTTTTCAAGTGCCTATTGGTTATCTGTGTTTCTTCTTTGGAGAAATGTGTATTTAGGTCTTCTGCCCATTTTTGGATTGGGTTGTTTGTTTTTTTGTTATTGAGTTGTATGAGCTGTTTGTGTATTTTGGAAATTAAGCCCTTATTGGTCACATTGTTTGCAAATATTTTCTCCCATACTGTAAGTTGTCTTTTTGGGTTTTTTTATGGTTTCCTTTGCTGTGCAAAAGCTTGTAAGTTTGATTAGGTCCCATTTGTTTAGTTTTATTTCTATTGCCTTGGGAGACTGATCTAAGAAAACATTGGTACGATTTATGTTGGAGAATGTTTTGCCTATGTTCACGTCTAGAAGTTTTATGGTGTCATGTCTTAAGTCCTTAAGCCATTTTAAGTTTACTTTGTGGAAAAAATATGGAATGCTTCATGAATTTGCGTGTCATCCTTGCTCAGGGGCCATGCTAATCTTCTCTGTATTGGTCCAATTTTAGTATATGTGCTGCCAAAGTGAGCACCGGGTAGGTGTGATTATCCCAAGTTTTTAGAACATGAAGTTGATATTCAGAGAGCTTTGATGACATGCCCAAGGTCCCACAACCACAATTTAAATAAAAATTTGGCTTCAAAATATGCGTTTTCCTCTTGACACTGCCCTGACTTGTGGTGATTTACTCAACTGAGTTGCTTTGCTTTCTTTCTTTGGCTTTTTTTTTAAGTGGGGGAGTAAGGGGTAGGGAGTTTGGGCACAAGGGAAGCATGATTATTTTTTTAAGTAAAAATGATTTTTTTTATTTTATAAACATGAATGCATCTTAGTGTTTCTAGAAGGTAGGTTAACTAGATAAATTTCAGGGTTTAAAAACACACACACACACACACACACACACACACACACACACACACACACACACACACACACACACACACACACACACACACACACACACCCCTTCTCTTATGGTATGATTCTAAGGACCGTACTGATTGATTGAAAGATAATGGTGCCCTGACGTGGACAGTCCAAAACCCGATTCTGTTCTCTACCCCTTCTACACAGTCATGGATGACACACGATGATAGCATCAGTAGAACAAAATATATGGCATTTATTAAACATGTGACATAGGTTTAATATCAAAGTAGAGCATGCATGAACAAATCACTCACCTTTAACAAAAACACCAATTGATATCGAAAACATTAAGTGATTAAATTTCCACAGCATACAAAATTCTTTCAGTTAAAGTGAGAAAGAAAGAAAAAATAAATCACAGGTTGAATAAATACAGTGATTTCAGCTGGTCCCTTGGCACAAGGCACAAAGTAAACCAAGGGGTTAGCACGTCAGAATGAAGTGTGTCTGCCCACGTGAGGACCGGCTGCAGCCGAGGCTCCCACACCCCTGCACAGGTCCTCGGCACCTGCCCCTTCCTTCCCAGGGTCATATTCCCCATGTGCCTGCACTCCTGCGGACAGGCTTCCCTGTAGCAGAGAAACACTGCCTCTAATACTTCTACGGGTAAATAAAACCTTCATGCTGTAACAAATGATCCTGGCAATAAGTTACATGAAATTTCAAGTTAATGCCTTGTTTCCTCCCAGCCGAAGTCTAGTAAAACAGAAAATAGTGAGGGAATTCTCCTGATAGGACTCAGTGTCCGCACGGAAAGCTAATGACGGCCCAGTACAGCAGGGTACATACACTGGTTGGGTGTTTGAAATGTGACCTTGAAACCTCTCTCTCCTGCCTTCCCCCTCCCCCTCCACTTTCCTTCATGTTTAAGAAGTGGATCAGAACCTCAGCAGTTTCCACTGCAGCTTAAAGAGTGTACAGGGCGAAGCAACAGTCACCCTTTCCAGACTTCAAGCCGCAGGGTTCCAGGGCCTTTGTCCATCAGTGAAAAGTGCACGTCTCCAAGTGCTTAAGTCAGAGTTTTCTTCATGGTTAACTCCAGGACTCGTGTGTATGGGGTATAATTCCTGGAAGCCACTGCAATCTCACGAGTCCTACCTGTTTGGCTGAGAAATGAGAAAACGCAGTTAGGAATATGAAACAAAACTTACCGTATGCTTCACGTGGTAAGATAACTCTAGGAAATCCTTTTCAACACTTAAAAATAGACTGCAGTAATGTAGCTGAATATTTCATTTAAATATTATGAGGGAGGGAGAGAAAACCGTAATTCAAAAAGAGTCACGTACCACAGTGTTCACTGCAGCTCTATTTACAATAGCCAGGACATGGAAGCAACCTAAGTGTCCACTGACAGATGAATGGATAAAGAAGATATGGCACATATATACAATGGAATATTACTCAGCCATAAAAAGAAACAAAGTTGAGTTATTTGTTGTGAGGTGGATAGACCCAGAGTCTGTCATACAGAGTGAAGTAAGTCAGAAAAACAAATACCATATGCTAACATATATATATAGAATCTAAAAAAAAAAAAAAAAAAAAAAAAAAATATAAAAAACGTTTAAAAATGAAAGAGTTCACAAAATTTGTAGGCAGTGGGAGAAAATCTTGAAAGGAGAGGTGGGTTTGATTAAGTAAATCTTTGATTTATTCAGTTTGAACTATCCTTCATAATGTGACTTCTAAAAACCATTGTAAATTTTAAAACGCAGATGTAGAGAATGGGCTTGAGGACACAGGGAGGGGGAAAGGTAAGCTGGGACGAAGTTAGATAGTGGCGTGGACATATACACACTACCAAATGTAAAATAGCTAGCTAGTGGGAAGCAGCTGCATAGCACAGGGAGATCAGCTCGGTGCTTTGTGACCACCTAGAAGGTGGTATAAGGAGGGTGGGAGGGAGACGTAAGAGGGAGGCGATGTGGGGATATATGTATATGTACAGCTGATGCACTTTGTTATAAAGCAGAAACTAACACACCATTGTAAAGCAATTATACTCCAATAAAAAAAAAAAGTACATTAGTGGTTGCCAGGGCCAAGGAGAAGGAGGGGATAGAGTTTGACTGCTAAGGGGTACAGGGTTTCTTTCTGGGGTGAGGGAAATTTTCTAAAATTAGATAAGTGGTGCTGGTTGCACAACTTTGTAAATATACTAAAAACTACTGAATTGCACATTTTAAAAGGATGAATTCTATGCTATGTGGATTACATCTCAGTAAAACTTACTTAAAAAAGAAAAATATGAGGGACCATTATTTTTAGCAATTTCTTTAAAAAGTTTTATTGGAGTGTAGTTGATTTGCAATGTTGTGTTAGTTTCAGGTGTACAGCAGAGTGATTGAGTTATACATATATTCATTCTTTTTCAGATTCTTTTCTCATATAGGTTATCACAGAATATTGAGTACAGTTCTCTGGGCTATAAAGTAGGTCCTTGTTGGTTATTTATCTTATATATAGTAGTGTTTGTATGTTAATCCCAAGCTCCTGATTTACCCCTCCTGCCCACATTTCCCCTTTGATAAGCATAAGTTTTCAATATCTATAAGTCTGTTTCTGTTTTGTAAATAAGTTCATCTGTATCATTTTCAAAAACTAGATTCCACATGAGTCATACCATATGATATTTGTCTTTCTCAGTCTGACTTCACTTAGTGTGATAATCTCTAGGTTCATCCATGTTGCTGCAAATGGCATTATTTCGTTCTTTTTTATGGCTGAGTAATATTCCATTGTATATATGTACCACATCTTCTTTATCCATTCCTCTGTCATTGGACATTTAGGTTGCTTCCATGTCTAGGCTGTTGTAAATACTGCTGTAATGAACATCGGGGTGCATGAATATTTTCTAATTGTGGCTTTCTCCAGATATATGCCCAGGAGTGGGATTGCTGGATCATATGGTAGTTCTATTTTTAGTTTTTTAAGGAACCTCCACACTGTTCTCCCTAGTGGTTGCACCAATTTACATTCCCACCAACAGTGTAGGAAGGCTCCCTTTTCTCCACACCCTCTCCAGCACTTACTGTTTGTAGACTTTTTGATGATGGCCATTCTGACCAGTGGTAGGTGATACCTCACTGTAGTTTTGATTTGCATATCTCTGATAATTAGTGATGTTGAGCATCTTTTCATGTGCTTTTTGGCCATCTGTATGTCTCCTTTGGAGAAACGTCTATTTAGGTCTTCTGCCCATTTTTGGATTGGGTTGTTTGGTTTATATTGTTGTTGTTTTTTGACATAGAGCTGCATGAGCTGTTTGTATATTTTGGAAGTTAATCCCTGTCAGTCACTTTGTTTGCAAATATTTTCTCCCATTTTGTGGGTTGTCTTTTCGTTTCGTTTATGGTTTCCTTAGCTGTGCAGAAGCTTTTAAGTTTAATTTGGTCTCATTTGTTTATTTTTGTTTTTATTTTTTTAATTTTATTTTTTTTATTGAAGTATAGTTGATTTACAATATGGTGCCAATCTCTGCTGTTCAGCAAAACTGACTCAGTTATACACATACAGGCATTCTTTTTTTTATATTCTTTTCCATTATGGTTTATCATAGGAGATTGGATATAGTTCCCTGTGTTATATACATTAGGACCTTGTTTATCCATCCTATCTATAATAGTTTACATCTGCTAATCCCAAACTCCCAGTCTTTCCCTCCCCCAACACCCTCCCCCTTGGCAACCACAAGTCTGTTCTCTATGTCTGTGAGCCTGTTTCTGTTTTGTAGATAGGTTCATTTGTGCCATATTTTAGATTCCACATATCAGTGATATCATACGGTATTTGTCTTTCCCTTTCTGACTTACTTCACTTAGTATGATAATCTCTAGTTGCATCCATATTGCTGCAAATGGCATTATTTCATTCTTTTTTATGGCTGAGTAGTACTCCATTGTATATATGTACCACATCTTCTTTATCCATTCATCTGTTGGTGGACATTAGGTTGTTTCCATGTTTTAGCTATTGTGAACAGTGCTGCTGTGAACATAGGGGCGCATGTATCTTTTTGAATTATAGTTTTGTCTGGGTACATTCCCAGGAGTTGGACTGCTAGATCACATGGTAATTCTATTTTTAGTTTTCTGAGGAATCTCTGTACTTGTTTTCCATAGTGGCTGTACCAACTTACATTCCCACCAGCAGTGTAGGAGGGTTCCCTTTTCTCCACATCCTCTCCAGCATTTATTTGTAGACTTTTTAATGATGGCCATTCTGACTGGTGTGAGTTGGTACCTCATTGTAGTTTTGATTTGCATTTCTCTAATAATTAGTGATGTTGAGCATCTTTTCATGTGTCTACTGGCCATCCGTACGTCTTCTTTGGAGAAATGTCTATTAAGGTCTTTGGCCCATTTTTCGATTGGGTTGTTTGTTTTTTTGTTGTTGAGTTGTATAAGCTGTTTGTATATTTTGGAGACTAAGCCCTTGTCTATTGCATCGTTTGCAAATATTTTCTCCCATTATGTAGGTAGTCTTTTCATTTTTATATGGGTTCCTTTGCTGTGCAAAAGCTTCTAAGTTTGATATGGTCCCATTTATTTTTATTTCTATTGCCTTGGGAGACTGAGCTAAGAAAACATTGGTATGATTTATGTCAGAGAATAAATTCTAGAAGTTTTAGAAGTTTTATGGTGTCAAGTTCTAGAAGTTTTATGGTGTCATGGTTTATGTTTAAGTCTTTAAGCCATTTTGAGTTTATTTCTGTGCATAGTGTGAGGGTGTGTTCTAACTTCATGGACTTACATGCAGCTGTCCAACTTTCCCAGCACCACATGTTAAAGAGACTTTTTAACTATTTCATATTCTTGTCTCCTTTGTTGAAGATTAATTGACTGTAGGTGTCTAGGTTTATTTCTGGGCTCTCTATTCTGTTCCATTGATCCGTATGTCTGATTTTGTACCAATACCACACTGTTTTGATTACTGTAGCTCTGTAGTATTGTTTGAAGTCTGGGAGAGGTATGCCTCCTTTTGTTTTTTTCCCTCAGGATTGCTTTGGCAATTCTTGGTCTTTTATGGTTCCATATAAAGTTTTGATTGTTCTAGTTATGTGAAAAATGTCATGGGTATTTTGATAGGGATCACATTAAATCTGTAGATTGCTTTAGGTAGTATTACCATTTTAACAATATTAATTCTTCCAATCCAAGAGTATGTGGTATCTTTCCATTTCTTTGGATCCTCTTTAATTTATTAATGTTTTATAGTTGATAGCATGTAAGTCTTTCACCTCCTTGGTCAGGTTTATTCTGAAGTATTTTTTTTGGTGGTATTTTAAAAGGTATTTTTTTACATTCCCTTTCTGATATTTCATTGTTAGTGTAAAGAAATGCAACTGATTTTTGGATGTTAATCTTGTATTTTGCTACTTTGCTTAATTCATTTATTAGATCTAGTGATTTTTGTGTGGAGTCCTTAGGGTTTTATATATATAGTATCATGTCATCTGCAAACAGTGACAATTTCACCTCTTCCAATTTGGATACCTTTTTTTTTTTTTTTTTTTTTTCTCTTGTCTGATTGCTGTGGCTAGGACTTCCAATACTATGTTGAATAGAAGTGGTGAGAGTGGGCATCCTTGTCTTGTTCCTGAATTTAGTAGGAAGGCTTTTAGCTTTTCACTGTTGAGTATTATATTGGCTGTGGGTTTGTCATAAATGGCTTTTATTATGTTGAGATATATGTTCCCTAGGAGGTGGATCCAAAAAGTTATTGCTGCGGTTTATGTTGAAAGACTGTTGCCTATGTTTTCCTCTAAGAGTTTTATAGTGTCTGGCCTTACATTTAGGTCTTTGATCCATTTTGAGTTTATTTTTGTGTATGGTGTTAAAGAATGATCTAATTACATTCCTTCGCATGTAGCTGTCCAGTTCTCCGAGCACCACTTATTGAATCCATTGTATATTCTTGCCTCCTTTGCCATAGGTTGACCGTATGTGCGTGGGTTTATTTCTGGGCTTTCTATCCTGTTCCATTGATCTATATTTCTGTTTTTGCACCAGTGCCACACTGTTTTGATTACTGTAGCTTTGTAGTATAGTCTGAAGTCAAGGAGCCTGATTCCTCCAGCTCCATTTTTCTTTCTCAGGAT